TCCCCTTGCCCTACAACGAAACAAAACAATTATCGGCATCAAACTGATAACGCAAAACAGACTACAAAGATAAAAATAAGTTAGACTGAACTTCAGTTAGCACACTGTGCCCAGAACGCCTCTAAGGAATCTCTTGCAGTGTCTTCAGCGACACTCTTGTTATTTCCATTATAAAAAGGCAAATTAGGTACAAATAAAGGGACTCAAAAGTCCCTCTGAACTCACCCAGTTCATCTGGCTTTCATTCTTGCCAGAGACACAATCAGTTTAAAGCCATTTCATACATAAAAGCTTAAACTGTAAATGAAGCTAAGACCTTTTTGCATCAGAATCAAGCTTTCATAGCAAGACTACCAACAGATGGATCCGTCCCAGCAATACTCCTTTACCCCAGAACAAAGAACCTGCTCCTTCGGTTGCTCTACATTTTAGCACTCCTCCCCACTTACCATTTCCAAAACACCTTCAGCGCTGAAGCTCAGGTGTGCAGCTTTCCAGAACACACGGTAAGGACACCAAGTGTTTTGCCTGGGGCTCCTTGAACACCCTCGTGCTCCAAGGCAGCGGCCAGATGCACTCAGTGCTCCTAATGCCTCAGCACCGCTGAGTCGGTTTCAGAAACAGGTCACTTGGGTTCCCTCAAGAAATCATCTGCTCATACCCTGGCACAGCACAGACTTTCTATTCCAGCATTTTATTCCCAGGTTAGCTCTCATCGTCAGTCGCTTGGCTTGCTTAGTACCTACCTCAGGCGACTATACCTCTATCTCTTCCAGTCAGAGAGCGGAGAACAACCAAAGCCACTTCAAAGAAAACCAGAACATGAAAGCCTTCACTTCTTCTCAACTATTTTTAGCCTTCTCATTCTTGCAGAGGATGAACTTCAGAGTTTCTAAGCCCTTCATGCCTACTCAGGTTCTCAAGAAGAGACACTTTCCTCTGTGGCTAATCGATCAGCTTATAACCTCTCCAGCCCTCTCCCTCTGGGCACGCCGGGGAGAAAATCCCTCCTTTTACCTGAGCTCTTTTAGAGAAATTAATCAACTTCCCAGCTGGATCTGATAAGTGACGAAGGCCACCTGATCCTCAGCTAATCAGGGGCAGCTGCGGGAGGGGATGAAGAGGAAAACAACTGCCAGCTGAGAGAAACACCCAGCGGTGTCCGTAGAGCCTACTGGCCTCTGGCAACGCTCTATTTCATACTGCGCACACACAAAACATTAAATACATAGAATACGCAATTAAAGATGCTGTAGTTACTCAATATGAGAAATTTTTGCAGATAAACATTTTCTATCCCAAACTATGTGCATATAACTTAATTCAAATTATTAATGAAAATAATTAATGTTACTTACAAAGGAAAAAAGTTAATTTGTATTACAAAACCCCTTTGTTTATGCCAACTTTTTACTAGCAGGTATCTTGCCATTTTTATTTTCAGACATCCCCAATATGCACATAACACTCACGTAATACAAAATCTGAGACTAAGATTCTATATGAATCTTGATGATTTCATATGAAATATGGGAGGGAACTATAACATTAAAGAAGCAGCTGACGAGTCAGAGTACTACTCAAAATTCAATAGTCCAATTACATCAGATGTGTTTCAGAAGACAGTAACACTAAGCTAATGTAATTCAGCCCCCAAGACATAGAAATTTTAGCCCCTCTCTTTCAGCACATATTCTAAGTAGACCCAAAGTAACTATTTTAATTTGCTTTCGTTAAGAGATTTATCCAAGTAGTTACTTATATAATGGAAATTCCAGAATAAATGACCTGTATGATAAGACACACTATGCTAATAGATGTTTTTACACTGTAGTTCTCCCTATATTCCAGCTATTCACCCTGTGTTAAGGTAAGTGGTTGCTTTGCTTTGCTCTTCTTAAAGGACTCTGTTTTGGCAGATAAATATTTTCCATAGCGTGACAGTTTCTTCATATTTTGCCCTGCTAGCGAAACTGAAGAGCAGTACTTTTAAAGTAGTCTCCACTCTTCCTCACTGAATACGGAGCCTGTTGCTGTGCGTCAGCCGAGAGAAGAGACATCGTGGTTGTTACCTACCGCAACTCGGACAGGGGCTGAACGTTCTCACCTCGTGTCGCAGAAGCCTCTGACCAACCGCAGTACATAAATCACTTTTGCGCTTAGACAGTAAGTTGGGCCATGAGATGCACTAGAAGGTGTGAAGCACGATTCTTTCCTAACGCTATATTAAAATATACACATGGAGCATTAACAGAGCCTTGTGGGCTTTTCTGAATCCCGCGGATGTTTCTCCCAGCTTTCGTGTTTGCTTGCTCTCTCGCCCCGCAGCTCATCCCATTAGCGAGGGCTCAGGTGGCAGCGACCACATCCAGCTGGAAGTAGTTGGCTAATTTCCCGAAAAGAGCTCAGGTAAAAAGAGACCACTTCTTATGAGTGACCTTGGGAGGAGAGAAACAGAGAGCTTAGAACATCGGTGTTAAAACAAAACAGATGTACAACTTTTGGATAATCTGTAGGCCTGAAGGGTTCCCTTTGCACAGAAAATGGCCGTGTGTGAGTCTCCGCAGCATTACAAACTATCACAAGCACTTTACAACTCTCTTCTCTCACTGACTTGCTTTCCTAGACAGCCAATGGAAATTGCCACCGCTGCACAGTGGTTTGGAGCTGGACTATCCACAGGTTTACCTCAAACGCCAGGGTGGCAAGGGGAAACGTCCCGATGCAAGAAGAGTAAAATCCTGGTGAAAAAGAGCGTATCCCGTTACTGGCTACAGGCGGTGACTTTGAACCCCTCAGCAGGCAGATATCAGCCCTCCTATACGGTTTGTTCTGCCTGAAGGCAAAATAGCACTTCAGAAAGTGCAGCAGGGCTACCGAGTATTGGAGGGAAGAGAGAGAGAGGAAAAAAGCCTGATGGTGAATTTTTGGCCTCCTTGGGTTTAAAAGGGGGCTCACCCAAAAGCGATGGATCAAACCAACCAACCCAGCACTGACTTGATAACAGCTCTCTCTGAGGCTGGTTTACAACTGCAGCACAAACAACCCCAGAAACTAAGGGCAATCAGAAGGTTTAGTTCAGTTACTTGGGGTTTAATTTCTCAAGGAGGGGGGAAAGGAGAACCCAAAAGCATGAGAACAACCCATATATTCAACCTGGGCCCAAAAATGCCGTCAGAATGCTCCATTGCATGGGAACCCTAACGGCACTGCTTAATTCATACAGTGCTGCCGAACCTTTGTGATTACACAGTCATTACACTGATTTTTAACTCAGTACTTAATGTAAGAAACATTTTGAAAATAAGCTACCTTTTTTTTTTTTTCTTAAAACGCTATGATGGTTTCGGAGTTGACATCTCTGCATTGCTTCGCATCATGTTACTGTGAGGGTTTAACACACCATCTCAAAATGCTTCTCCATAGATATTCAGATTAAAAAATGGTAGAATAAGATATTCTAGCCGTTCAGCTAAATTACTGGCTTGCCCAAATACCAGATGCTTCAGAAGGCTTTTTTAGCCCCACTCAAAGATGTTACGGTCTCCTAGGAAACATTACACTCTATGCCTAGCCCTAAAGGTTTTAAGTTTTATGCTTGTGATAACTGATAGTTCAAGAAGACCTCGCTTAAAGCATCCCCTGCTTGTATTACGTACAGATACCGCAGAAGGAGAATAAACCCTCTTGTTCAGCAGATGGCACGAAAGGAAGAGGATTAGGGAGAGACAAGAAAATAAAAAACCGTTGTGTACACTCAGTACAAATATGTGGTAGAATAATGCTCTGGATAAGCCATGTTGGTCCAGTTGCCAGGTATGATAATTATAAAGAAACCAGGGGTATTGTTGGCAAAATATATCAGCTGTAAATCAGTTTGAACATGCAATAAGAGTTCTGCACTACTTCCGCACGCAATGACAGGGGACCTAGCTTAAAATTATAAACAATAAAACACATTGCAACGGGTTCTGGTTTCAGGGTCTTTTGGGTTTTCTTTTGGGGGGTTGTTTTTATAATTCAGATGAACATTATTTATAATTCAGTGGACACGATAAAAAAGATCAGCTTTGCCATATAAGTTAAAGGCAGCTAAGCAATCGCTTGACATCTTAACACAGGAAACTAAGTGGATAAAGAACATAAGCCACTCAGTGTCTGTGGGGAAGAACTGTGTACAAATCTGAATTATTTACTGTTTATACTCACTGCTATTAGTTTACTCAGGTAAGACTTCACAGTCACATCAAGTCAATCCTATAATTCGCAAAAATATTTAAGCACACCCTTTAATTCAAGCATTCAAGCATCCTTTAATCCAGTAACATTTCTAATAGAGAAAAAGAATTTTCCACATGTTAAATGTTTGCTAAATAAAAGGAGTTTATTTTAACACACAAATGTAAAAATCACAGAATGGTTTGGGTTGGAAGGGACCTTCAAGACCATCCGGTTCCCCCCCCCTGCCCTGGGCAGGGCCACCTCCCCCCAGCCCAGGTTGCTCCAAGCCCCGTCCAACCTGGCCTTGAACACCTCCAGGGATGGGGCAGCCACAGCTTCTCGGGGCAACCTGCCCCAGGGGATCACCACCC